AAACATTACTATGATCTATTGATGATGGTTATTAATTAGTAGCAAATAATTGCAATAACGTTATATTTCCCTAAATTCTCATGACTTTTTAGATGGTTGCAAGTGACTTGTGACCCAGATAGCTCATATATAACGTATAAGACTGTGAGGTTGGGTGATGTAAATTTGAACTTCACATGGAGCATCAGTTCTATCAAGAAACTTAGAATCCGCGTTTCGTGTACAGAATATCTCCAATCAACTAACATCTTAAAATACTTCATGGGATATCGCATAAATTGGATTAATACTGAGACATGATCGATAGAATTCATTCATCCTGGTGCCATAACCAATATCACGTAGATTCGGTTAATAGTTTGTCACTTCATTACAAAGTAACATATTTTCCCAAATATTACATTCTATTCACTATTCTTACTACAGAGAAATCATATTTCTTTTTCAGAAAATATAATATAAACGTGATTGATTCAACCATTAACTTTTGTAAATTCACACAGCAACTCATGGTGTTATGGAGATTCACGAAGGTCGTCGTCTTATTCTGAAATGCAAAGTGCAAGGTGAAACAAATCCACAAATTAAATGGTTTAAAGATAATAAATCTATAAATATGTCATTGCATCCGAATATTAAAATCACATCTTCAACGTAAGTGATCGAAATTTTATTTTATTTGATAAATGTCATTAAATTTACATTTTGTTAAAACAATTTTCCAAGAAATTCAAGAAAACTAATTAATTTCCTTACTTACTTACTTACGCCTGTTACTCCCCGCGGAAGAGCATAGGCCGCCAACCAGCACTCTCAATCCAACCATTGTCCTGAGAAATCCTTTCTAGTTCTATCCAATTGTTGTTCATCATTCTTATATCTGCTTCTATTTCCCGACGTAATGTGTTGTTTGGCCTTCCTCTTTTCCGTTTCCCTTCAAGATTCCAGGTTAACGCTTGTCTCGTGATGCAGTTTTGTGATTCCCTTAATGTATGTCCTATCCATTTCAAACATCTTTTTCTAATTTACTCTTCACCTGGAAGCTGATTTGTCCTCTCCTAAGTAGGCTGTCACTGATGGTATCCGGCCAATCGATGTTGAGTATCTTGCGTAGAAAACTATTTATAAATACGTGTACCTTCTTGATGATGGTTGTAGTAGTTCTCCAAGTTTCAACTCCATACAGTAGGACTGTGTTGACGTTCGTATTCAAGATTCTCACTTTGATGTTAGTTGATCGTTGTTTTGAGTTTCATGTGTTCTTCAATTGTAGGAATGCAGCCATTGCTTTGCCAACCCTCACCTTTACGTCTGCATCTGATCCTCCTTGTTCATCGATGGTGCTTCCACACCTCTCAGTTTCGCGATCAAGTGTGGTTGGGTTGGTATTCTCCGTGTTGTATTTGAAGGTCTTGCTTTTTCCTTTGTCTATGTTGAGGCCTACTGATGCAGAGGCTGCTGCTACACTAGTTGTCTTCATCTGTATTCGTGTGTATGGGATAGGAGGGCTAGGTCGTCTGCAAAGTCCAAATCGTCTAATTGATTCTGAGCTGTCCATTGTATTCCGTGCTTCCCGTCAGATGTGGAGGTCTTTATAATCCAGTCAACCATCAGAAGAAAGAGGAAGAAGGATAGTAGATATAGAACTAAATAAGTAGTCTAGATATGATGTTAGTTTTGCGAATAATGGAGCAGATTTACAATGCAAATGAATACATACGTTGTTATATATTTTTAAGCTGAACTGTTACATTTCAAACGTTGCAGTCACTTTTTCAGCAACATTGTTAATATTTGCTCTAAACAGAATTGAGTTTATACAAATTGTGTGTGGGGGGGAGTTAAATAAGTTCGTTTTCATTATCTGTTCTTATCGAAGGCTTTATTCTGTTTAGGACTTTTTTACATTCGTGTCATGCATTTTGGACATTTCAGTGATTAACTTGATGTAATCAAAATTATTGTCATTTTGCTTATGTGAAAAAGTTCGCTTCATGCTTTCAGCAAATGTATGACGTTCAAAAAACTAGTTCCATATGAAATACAGTACAGAACAATTTCAGTATGCGTTCTATCCGTGTATTATTTATTACTGAAAATCGATTTGTTTATATCATGAAGAGCTAAGTACCACTGTCTTACGTCATATAACGGAAAAACACTTTACAGTGTGTATTTCAGTCATTTATAATAAACATCTATTCCATTTGACGAAGTGAACATATAAGCGAGATCTTTATTCATACGAAGATCAATTGAAAGAACATCCTAACTTTAATAAGATATATTTCGATTATATTTTGTGAACAAAGCACACCTAGCTTCAGAAATACAAAGTGAAGGTTGTCGTCCATTGTGTCCCGGAAAAAAAGCCCGTAAAGTTTTGTTAATATGTCGTAATGATATAGCAAAGTCTATTATCTGTACTTCAGTATCTGTATGGCTCGTGTATTTCGACCTTTCGAAAGGTGTACAGTGAACTTGAGAAATAAATTTACGGTCAACTGATTTTAATTTAAGATGAATGCCAACAGCAGAAAAGTCAACTTCCATTAAGCCTTATCACGAATAATGTATATTATATTATATATTATATATTATATTATTATGAGAAATGGTGACCAGAGTTGTTCAGGTTTGTTAGGAGTAAGATAGATGTAACCAACAATAATAAATGATCATCACATTTTATCATGGATTATTTGAAGCTGCAAGAGCGCTCTATTTAGGTCTTGGTGATTTTCTACAGAACTGTGTTACTTCAGTTGTTCACTTATAAATATCTACAACTTAATATTGTGATGAAATACTGTAGTGATTAGATCAACAAAAGAAAGAAATCCAAATCCCTATTTACGGGAATCGGGGTTTTTCATTTAATGTAATATTGAAACGGCAATTTATTATAGTAGAATTTAACCAGAAAATATTATAAAGTTTGCAGTATTACGTCATTCTTGTTGAAGCGTTAAGCAGAAAAACAATGTGTATATCTATACCTTATACACAACCAGTATGTACTTAACCAATAACAATCCAACCATCTTTGATCGAATGAGTGAAAAAACAGTCTGCCGAAGTGAATGGTCAAATATATGTATACATAATGCAACAATAAACTGACTACTGTGTAAGAAAAGGATAACAAAAGCCCAGATGTTGAATCTAACTTTAAATATAACTGTCTTAAATGAAAGACAGTGACTTGAGTATTAATTACTTTTACCCACTTTAAAGTGAATCAATTTTTATATATCGTATGACTTAGAGATGAATGGTGGTTAGATTAACAAAGTGGTTGCATTTTAAAATTAATTATATTTCTGCATATTTCAATGTACCTAACTGACTTAATAATCCTATCTATATACGCTTTACCAGTGAATATAATGATGTATACACTTTTCTTATTTTGTATTGTGTAATTTCACTGTGACATTTTCAATTTAGTCTGTAATGTAAAATATTAGTTGTGTATAAATGATATTAAGTATTTTTATTAATACAAATCAAATTGTATCAGTAGTTGAACAAGACTTGGAATATATATTATTGTCTATGATGAATTATTGGCAAAACAGTTGTTTAAAATTTATCAGTTTGTAGTAAACTTTAGAAAACATTAAGTCATATAGTGTAAGATGTGTGGTTTATTTATGTAACACTGATGTCAATGCTTGTTCAAATAGTATATTTAGCTTTTACTCGTTTTTTCTAGCTTATATTTTGTTATTTCAATTTATGGCTTACAAATGATATCGCTGAAAGAAAGAAAAACATTCATTCATAATTCTACTTCTATAAAATATTAATTTGAATACTAAAGATTGTTAAACAGAATATAATGTTGAGTAGTCTTTGTTGTTTTAAGGTTGTGATGATGATGATGTTTTGTTTAAGATATTGAGGTTTAATGAGGCTAACAATTTAATAAACTTTAAGCATTTCCAAGCAACGAGAGATTAGCAAGACTAGAATCATTTTTCACAGTCAACAAATTTACATACATGAGTATATGTATGCATATGTTTAGACATTAATTCCGATTTATAGTGATATGATAATAATCGGTGATGTTTATTCTTACCCAGTTAGTTTGGGAAGCATAAAAATCTTTTGAATTGGATTTATTTGGGTCGAACATAGAATGTATGAATACCACGTGATCTAACTTATCTACTAGTTGTTAAACATTTTGCTTCGAAAATTATGTCTCTGCAGGTTGTTTAATGGTCTGTATTTTTCATCGTAAATAAGTTAGTCAAAATACAAGAAATACAAGTTTACCATTACTATGACTAAGGAGAATAATCTTTCGAATGATATAAACTACTTAACGATAACCAACATAAGATCAGAATTATCTAGAAAGTGAAACTGTAAGGAGGTCAGAGTCATTCTAAAGCTACTGAACTAATCAAAAGGAAAACAGTGAATTAAAATAACCAAAGCAACTGATTAAACATCTCAATGAATCATCGGACTCCTGTAGGACTGAGATATTTGCATCAAGTGGTCTCTGAGTAGTAATCAACCCCCTTATTTTATAGGCCAAAATGCCATCATGCTAGGCTTCTGAGTTTATGCTGAGGGATGATGAAGCGTTCAGGATTAGTGAAATAGCTGACAGGCTCAAACATGTAACTCAATGAAACCATACTATGGTTTTAACCTAGACCTTTCCAGGAGCGACAGTCCTATGAATTGATATCCTACCTACCACAAAGAGCATATCTCAGTACATCATGTAATAGATTTGACATCCAGCTACAGAAGATACACAAGAGTATATAATTTTTTTATTCCCCATGAAATACTATCTTTAGTCTACATCAATTATTCACATCATAATACAATGGTGTTTATACGTTTCTATCTTTATTTACAGGAAGCATTCAGAATTACGAATAGAACACGTCATAACTAATGACACAGGTAACTACTCCTGTCGAGGAGAAAGTCAACAGAATCAAATAAGCAAATGGGTTTTTGTTTCGGGCAAGTTTTCTTTTATAATGTTCACTTACATGTTACATTACTTAGACAAATAAATATTTGAAGGGGTTTTGTGGATATTATAGTAATTCCAATAGTTGAGGTCATGAGATTATGCCGGCTCTGTGGTCTAGAGGTTAAGTGTTCGCACACCAGACCAATAGGTCCTGGGTTCGAATCTTACGAGGCAGGATCGTGGATGCCCACTGTTGAAATCCATGAACGCTGTTGATGAGCAAATCTGTCAACAAAAGTAGGTTTATGGTTTTCTATAGACTCGACTCCATGACAATACTGATAAAACAATAAGCAATAAGTTTTGTTCACCTATGATAAGTATTTAGTAAATAAAGTTACACATTTGTTTGTCATAATTCAGACTAGTACATAGTAGACTGATATTTGTCTCACTCTATTTTTATTGTAGGATGCTTTGATTTTCTTAATTTATCCATAACAATAAATTCTGAAACTAACCAAACTCTTCATAAATCTATTTGAATTAAATAATTGAGTAAATGAGATCGTGAGTCAGTCGAAGCTAGATCAACATGGAAAAACTGGGAGCAGTGAACAACAGCTTCATCCTAGCATGAGACTCCACAGTAGTGCGCGTCCACCATCCCGACTCGCGAGATTCGAACACGGGACCTGTCAGTCTCGCAAGCGAACACTCATAACAGACCCGGTTAAACTCTATTTGTCACTGATTCTCACTAGAACTCCAGGAACTATTTCCTGAGGACCGTGACCATTGAACATATGTTGATTAATATCAGAAGGGGTTTTTGTGGATATAGAGGTTATGCGTTCGTGCGAGGCGGGATCGCGGATGCGCACTGTTGAGAAGTTCTACAGTAGAAGGAAATGGCCATCCAGTGCTTCCAGGTTTTCTATGGTGATCTAGCTTCAATTGACTTATGATCTCAACTATTAAAATTACTATAATATCCACAAAAATCTCCTTCTGTTACTAAAAATAATTCAGATAGAAATAAAGAGTTATAAACATCGAAGAGAAAAAACCAAATGAATGAGAGAAATAACCCTCAACATTTAGTAAGTGTAGTATTCGTTAAGTAATAATCATTAATAAACGATTTATCACTAGTCTGGGAATTTTCTTTGAAAAATAAGAATTTGAATGTAAAGGCATAAATTCCCCATAAATAACCTTCTTTATGAAGAGATAATTTCGAAGAAACTAAAAAGAACAATAATAAATTGAATAACCATTAAAGCTTAGTTGTGTATGAATTGGTTGAATTTCTTTCTACAAAATCTCTTATAGAAAAAAAATGAACAAAAACAAATTTTTTTTCTTTTTGCTGAATCGTTTTTTTATTTATTCTTTTTGACACATAAAGTTTATTCAGCTTGTCCAGTGAATATTTGCAATATGGGAACATGTTTCATTATAAATAATAATTCACTTTGTAGGTAAGTGATATGGTTTATATTTTTTCAATATGGAAAATATGAAATTTAATATTTTCGTGTGTGTGTGTGTGTATAGAATTTGAGTTATTTCTTTGATTCAATGATAAAAAACAAAATAAACACCTCCACCCCTTTGATATGAGATGAGAAAATAATAAAAAAAATAAAATTATTTCAGTACTTATTATGACAAAATTTAATTAAAATTCAATCGTGTAATTTGTGTTCGATGTAATTGAATTTTTTTTTGTTTCTTTCAACTATTTACCATAGAGAATCGATTTCATTTTAGAACATTCTTTAATTTTTATTCATGTAATTGTTCATTTTATTTTGTTGGAGAAAGCTTTACTTGAGATCAGTACTATTGAATATAAATGTGTTTATTGGAATATTTGAATATTGAGTAGTCTAATATAGAATTATTCACATGTTTAAGATTATCATCAAATGAGGTTTTAAGTTAATGGATTTGTATTGGACAAGAACACCAGTAGGGGACGATCCGATGTATTCGACACGAAATCTCACTAAAATCTGAGAACCATATAGTAAATAGTTAATTTGCAAAATATCAATCCATTGTCTCAGATTTCATTGTTCATGCATTTTAATACCACTTGCGTTCCGTTTCCGTTCTTTGTTTATCGATCTTCTGCTGAAATACATTCTATGCATGACCACCGTTATATACTACTTATATGGATATAAGTAACTCACACTACAGATTTTCCATTTAATGTAACACAAGAGGTTATATTTTCTCAGTTGAGAAATTTCGAAATAGTGCTAAGCTATCGGCGTCCTTGGGTTTTCTAGTTTGAATAGTTTGTTGTTTATTTAGACAACATAATCAGCGCTTAATTTATGAACTGAATTTTGTACTTATTCAACAAACGCGTAGATATGTAGTACAAGTAATATTTAAGACGGTCCAAATATAAAACATCACTGAAAACAAACAATTATTGTGAATATAAAACTCATTAAATTTATCGAATTTTAGGTTCAAGATTTACTCCCAAACATCATTTGGCATAATCTTTTATTATCTCTCCGATCCACGTTTTATCAATTATGAATCCAAAGATTTATATTCACATTGCACTGTTAAATACAAAACCAGCGTTATGTTGGAAATCGAAACGTAAACTAACTTTTTGTTGGGCGTTATGGGAACTACTGTATATAACGTTTCGCATAATAAATTTACATTTTTAGATGACCATTAGAAACTGGGAGGTGCTTTACAACATTTCAATCTTAGTGTTGAACAACTTAATGGTGGGCATATACAACTCTACCGGAGATTAAACATTTAACCTTCAGGTTTCGTGGTGGGAAATTATCTTCAGATTACTAAACCGGCATCCAGTAGTTCACATTTTTGACCCCAATAATTTTGTTGTTTATGTCATTCTTTCAATCTTCAATCAGGTCATCTATGTGCTCTACTGTGAAGACTTGTACAAGAGTGAAAACGTTTTTCAGCATCTTTTGGTCTTCATTAGTTGTTTAACAGCTACTTATTTTGTTAAATAAGTAGTATTATTAAATTTAAGTATCTCAGTACGAAGTGTTATTTTGTCTTCTATTTTCTCTAAAGTATAACTAGACTCATAATCACATTACTTGTTTTGATTTACTTTTTCTGTTTCTTTTCATACATAATTAAGATGTCCGGAGACACATACCGGTGAATTATGTGATCAACTTGTGTCAAATGATAAAATCAAAAATAAATTAATCATGAATACACAACCAATTAAAAAGAATCTAAACTATCTGCAGTCGGATTCAAAATCACCCTCGTCAGTTGACCTAATTAATTCTGTATCAATTCTAAAAGATAATAATAATAATCAACCTAAGCAAACTATGCAACTATTATCAGAAATAAAACGTGAAAAGTTCGATTTGTGTACTCTTCCTGAATTTCAATTTACTACTGGTGAATAAATTTGGGTTTATTTTTGTTATTTTTGTTGTTGTTAGATAACTGAATTAGCTCTATAGGTTGAAGATAAAGATCACTTTTTATTCCCTAATGATATCCTGGGTGTGATTTGATTCAAAGGCCAAGTTTAGAATGAAACGTTTGCTTAGTGGTCTTTAATTTCTAAACAAATAGTTAACTGCCATCAGTGCTTGGCAAAATCTATCATCATAGCGAAATAAACTCCACAAAACACTGAGACATTTGTCAAAATAATTGTAACCTAAGCTGAATGCTTTCAAAAATTATGTATAAATTATATTTTCATAATACTTGTGTTAATATTTCCACCGGTTACGAACTATTCAGTGGCTGACAGCGTTCAATGGTAATTTTTTGGACGTGGCATATAAGCTGTCCATCATCGGTTTCTTCAAATATCTGAAGAGTATTAGCATTTTATACTAATCGATAATGTCAATCAATAGGGAAAGTAAAGTTCAGTTGAATTTTATGTGAATAGTTTAGTACTATGAAGATAATAAAATTACCCTCCTATTATTAATGAATTCTTGATATTCAAAATATAGTGGCCTAGGATTATGTTGTCTGGGTTCATCGGTGAGCCTGTATGGTGTTTTCGTTTCTTTTATTTTGACTGGTGGAATAAAACGTATGTCTTTCGGAACCCTCAGTATATAGTACGTTACCCTTCCTATGTTGACTTGGCATTGCCCAATAAACTGTTAATTGTAGTTTATTGAGTTGAATTATTTTGAAAGCAAAAGAAGTCATATAACAGTGATGTGGTGTTTTAATGCTCTTCGTGGTCCGTTTATCCCTGCCGATGGCCTCTAACTAGCCAACATCAAAAATAATTTTGAATTCAAATTAATCAAACTTCACAAAATCATGTGTTTACCAATAATGTTCCAGACTCCAATCATTACCTTTAAGATCCTTTCCAATTGTTTTTTGCTGAAATTTTGAGATCTACGGATGCCGTCAATGCAAAAGTGAAACACATGTTTGCTCATGACATTTAATCAAAGATTTGTTTTGCACATTGATGTTCATTAATAACATTTGTCCAAGAAGTCGAATAACACTATACAGTCAGTGAACTTTGAAGACGATTGTTTTGATGGAAAAATTATCTTTGGTTTTTAGTAAATCTCTAGATGTTATCTATCAAAAATAAAAGTTATTGTTTGTTTTTCACTATCCTTGTCAATTTTCATCCTAATAACTAAAATTGAGCTTATACACTAATGGATTAAGAAGTGCATATACCTAATTTTATAACACAAGGTTATAATGAAAGTTGATCGGTATTTAGAGTGGATCAGCTAAACAGAACTCCATAATATAGACTGAGTAACATAAACAATAATAATGAGGCAGACAAGATTCTGCTTGAGTTGATTCTAGATAATCCTCACTCATCAATTCTACCAATGATGAACGTTTACTCTATCTACTCAGTCTTGTATCCGAATAGGTCAACACAAAAGGTGAACTTTTGTTACTATATTTTAAGCACACAATTTTTATCGCAGGCACATGTTAGTTTATGAATATATTAACTATTAAATCCCAACGTACTCCGAATAAGACATAATACTTACGTGCACTCATGTTATAAATAGTAAAGGACGAACTAAACGGCACATAGCCATGTGATTTGAAAAATTATTGACTAGTTAATATATTTTGTTGTTAGCTAAATCTGAATAAATCATTAATTCATATTCTAAAGTTTCGTATCATTGTTAAGCTTAGTTGAAATTGCATTGAGTGTTTGAAATTTAATAGATAGTTTTTTTCCGAAACATTACCCTAGGTATTGTCTTGAGTTCCTTACATTGTTCAAAAGACGTTTGATGAGTTAAGACTGTATTAACCATCAATTCTTGCTTTCCATTCTTGTCCTAATGCATTATGTTTTCTGTTTTCATTTTACTTTTTTTGTAGATTGTCTACATGTCAAAAGTCATTTGGCTACATTCATTGGCACTGCGATCACATGTTCAATGATTATATTGCTATTAACATTCTGTGCAGCATACTTTAGGTAAGTGATCAATTTAGACTAATGTCAATATAAATTTTTTTTTAATGATTGTAAATTATGTGTTATGCAGGTCAACAAATAATTGAATAAATAGGTGAATACTTTAAATTAAGACTTTGAAAATCATGTGGTTTTTATTATTTATTTATTTATTTACACACATAAATATTGGTATAGGTAGGCACCAAATACATATGTGTCACACATATCCTTCGATTTGTGTGAGGACTGGGATACTGCCCGGGTGCCTAAACCGAAGCAGGTGGTCTGATGCACAAGGCAGTGTAGCAAAGTCAGGAAATGCGGTCCCACGGTAACTGGTGACCAATAATTTGTTCATACGCTATTTGTTGCTTCAGGATACTAGAGCTCATGTGCACTGTTGATTTGAAATGGGGGTTTTCCAACTACCCTAGGTGAACTCTCCGTGTCCACCAACCCGGCTAAATCGCCGGACATTCGCTTTTCGTCCTCTCAATTTCAGAAACAACACACATGCCGCAAGAAGGCGGTGAGTAGGACTTCCGTGGCAGTGGCTGTATACGCGTGATCACGTGAGGGCATTTAGAGAGGGAGAGCTGACCCACCTCACTCTCGGCCGTATCGGGGCATTTGGGGTCAAGTACTTTGAGTACTAAAGCATCTGTGATTTGAGACCACTATAGTTATATGAGAATATGTTATTGTATACTATATTTCCCTTGGATTGTACGAGACGAACATTGATTTACTTAGATCACATTCATTGTGAATACACTCATAAAATTAGGATTACTAAGACCTTTATTGTTGATTACTAAAGTAAGTCATAGAGTTTAAATTCTCTGTATCATATTCAGTGGGGTTCTACTTTTAAATGAAGTACATGCTACAGTAGATTCCTGAGAACTCATTCATTTAGCTCCGAAAATGAAACAGCTGTAATATTCCTTATTACACAATGTACTAATCATTAGATTAAATATATTTTCTAATCGTTCTATTGAAAATGTTGAAGTCAAATGATTCATAGCTATTTATCAGTATTTCATGCAAAAATAAATGTGAATCGGTGAAATTTAAGTCACATCATCTTGGTACATTTGAGTTGTAAATATAATTCATATATAAGTATCATCATTTATGTTTAGTGCCACATGTTGTGATAGAGTAGTTATTTTATCAAAGAAGAGTGAAGTTATTCTACTAATCTTCATTAATATGATACAAAGTATGTACATTGTCTATAGATAATCACTATTATTATTGTTTGCTGAGTTCTTAGAAGCTGACAGAAATCTATGAAATAAATGAATTCCCTTTAATTTACTTCTCTCATTGTTCAAGTTGAATCTATCTATAGGAAAATTTCATAGAGGGTAAATTTGATTAGAATTGCTATGACTCCTTTGAAAGTATTCAATAAATTTTACTACTCATTTACTCAATATCTCTATCAATAGTTTAAGATACAATCACCTACAAATATGAGAAGCCTTGGTTAATGAGAAGAAAATTGATTTAAAATATACAGATTTATCTAGAATCAGTTAAAATTAGTTGACTTGTATCTATGTCACAGATACAACCTTTTGAAATGTAATCAATATTCAGGAGGCACATCAACAACAACAAAAAAGTCCATAGATCTATAAAATTCAAAATGCTTAGATACATAAACATTTATCTTTGTAATCCTAAGAGATTTATTATTTCAATATGGAAAATAGTTTAAAAACTTGTATAAACCAATTTATGTTGATAATAATGAAAGTATTTGAACAAACACAAAATTAAATAAACAATTAATGGAGAGAGAGAGAGAGAAAAAAAATCAACAACAGCAGCAAAAATAACAACGTCATTACGTAGTAAAATTATTTATTTGACTAATACTTCAATAAAAGTTAAAAATCCAGATTAAAATATCATCGGTTATAAATAATTCTATCAACAGCAAATAGAATGAATGTGTATTTTGATTTAATAAACAACTGTGTCCTCATTCATTAAATTATACTTGCAAAACTGAAATAATTTTTTTTTCAATTATTGACGTCAATAAAGAAAAAAAAGACTATCTCCAATCTGAGTGACAAAAGTGACAAAAAGTTAAATAAATAATTATGTATTAACTAGATCATAATGATATAAAATGAACATACAGTTTGTATATTTACCGTAATACAAGCACTCTACTTGGATACATTTACTAGAGTACGGTAGCTGAAGTACAGCGTAATTGTAATCAAAACATATAGTTTACAACAACATACTTTGTGACAAATTTTAAAAGAAAAATAAAATGATATCAGTTTTATCTATTAAATTGTATTCGTTCGAATAACAAGTTTGATTTGAAAGTGTACAGTTTCTCCAACCTGATTATTTGTTAACAAAAACAGAGTACAAATTATTGTTAATTTTGTTACATTAAGAACTACACTGTAACCATAGTGATTACAATCTCTTTTCGCTTGACAATTATAAAAGTACGGTAACATGAATAATGTACTAACCAAAAGTCGCTTCCGTCATCCCATCATAACATTCAGTGGTGAATAGTTTTTTTTTTTAAAACATAATTAAAAGTTTATGTGTCCTGTCGATGTCAAATGATAGTGTTTCTTTATATTGTTCTTTTGAAATATATTTTAGAAGGAAAAAACTCTTAAACAAAAGAAAACAAGATTGTAAATGTCTATCGAAAGAAGTATGTTAATTCATAAATTATCGCAATCTGTTTTTGTCTAATATTGATTATGGTCAGTTAGCAACAATTTAAACAAACACATTATAAATCAAAATCCTTGTTATAAATAAATTTTCAAATCAACATCTCAGTAATTGAGTAAGAAAACAGTTGTGGCGTATACTGCTAATAAAAACATTCAACGGTTATACGATTATTGAGGATCTTGGTATTAATCTTGTGTATGTTGAGGCCTACTGATGCAGAAACTGCTGTTACATTAGTTGTCTTCATCTGCATTTGTTCGTGTGTGTACAACAGATCGGCCAGGTCATCTATGAAGTAAATATCATTTAATTGATTCTGAGCTGTTCATTCGTGCTTTCCTCAGATATCTAGGTCTTCATGATCCAGTCGACCATCAGAAGAATGAGCAAGTATGAGAGTGAGCAGCCATGTCTGACTCCAGTCCTCTCTTGGAATGCATCTGTCAGCTGTCCTCCATGCACCATTTTGCATTGCATTCTGTCGTATGAATTCTGTATGATATCGATAGTTTTCTCAGGTAGTCTAAAATGTCGAAAAGTTTCCATAATGTTCTTCTATCCACACTGTCGAATGCTTTCTCACAGTCAACGAAGTTGATGTACAGTGATGAGTTCTACTCCGTAGAGTCGCAATATGGTTTGTACACGACCGATCCTTACGAAATCCAGCCTGTCGATCTAGAAGTTCGGAGTCTACTGACTTTTTCATCCAGTTCAGCAGCACTCTATTGAAAACCTTTCCTGGTACCGACAGCAGTGTCATGCCTTTTTAGTTCTCACATCTGTTCAGATTTCCTTTCTTTGGTGTCTTGATGAGGTAATCTTCTTTGCAGTCCGCCGGTACTTGTTCTTCCTCCCAAATCTTCCTGAATAGAACGTGAAGCATGCTTGCAGTTACTTCTATGTCTGACTTCATAGCTTCAGGTAGTATATTATCAGGTATGCTGCTTTCCCACTCTTGGCCATCCTGATTTCTTCCATCGTTGATAAAGTGACATCTATAAGAAAGTCTATCGGTGCTGCTTCGATGTCTGGTACATTCAGTGGAGCAGGTAAATTCAAGAACTCCTCAAATTATTCTACCCATCTGTCCCACTGCTCTTGAATCTTGGTGATTGTCTCGCCTTCTTTGTCTTTGATCGGTCTCCCCGGTTTACTATATTTCACTACCAGTTTCTTCGTCGTGCCATATAGTTGTCTGATATTTCATTCTCTTTCAGCTTTTTCCACCGTCGTGGCTAGATCTCCCACATATTTCCGCTTGCCAGCTTTCATGCTCTTCTTCACTTTCCTGTTTGCCTCTGCATATTTAGCTTGCGTCTTTACTTTCTTTGCTCTTGTTTGACTGTTGCTAATTGCTGTCTTTTTGATCTTCCTTTCTTGAATCTTGTCTAGGGTTTCCATAGAGACTGTGGTGGTCGGTATTCGATATAATCCTTAAACTTCGTATACAGTTCGTCTTGATAACCGTTCTATATAACGTCCCAACGGTATCTTAATCAGAAGGCAAATACGAAGTGATGATTACGTTTATTACGAGACCACCCACATATATTCAAATGTACAAATGCGTTAAACAAGCATAGAAGAGTTTTGCCGAAAGGCAAGCAAGCGAGCGGGAGCCAGAGCAAGAGCGAGACGAGTGTGTGAGTGAGTGAGTGTTGAATATGAACAACATGGATATATATATACCATGTGAAATGAATGAGTAATCGAATCAAATAAGCGGTTAGTAGTAAGACTAGCAGAGTGAATAAATGCGTAGGGCTTAACTGAGTTAAATGAGAATAAACCCAATTGCATGTGAGTCGCTATAAGATCCATTCCTTATGATAATGCCTCTTATCACCTAGCACCTCCTGACACGTTGAGATTAGTGTCCGTTTGATTCCTTTACAACTGTCCTCCATAGTAGTTTCTTTTTCTTTCAGTAGATCTTGTAAGGCTTGGAACCTGTCGTTGAGAATTATCTTGAATTCGTTGAACTTATTAGTATCTCGTAGGAAAGCTGTATTGAACCTTTGTAATGCTGTTTCCCCAGCTATCCAGTACTCCTTTAGATCCAATTTCATCTTGGCCACAACAAGGTGGTGATGTTAAGCTATATCAGATCCTCTCCTGGTTCTCACGTCTCCCATTGACCTTATGAATTTCGCAATGATATAAATATGATCTACCTGGTTCTCCGCGATGTGGTCCGGTGAGATCCATATAGCTTTGTGTATGCGTTTTTGTGGGAAGATTGTGCCGCGTATAACCAAATTGTTGAATACATATAGATTTGCAAATCTGTCACCATTCTCGTTCCTTTGTTCCAGTTCATGTCGTCCCATGATATCTTCGTATACGGTGTTGTCCATTCCCACTTTAGCGTTTAGGTCTCCCATTCCCGAACCTAGGGCTCGTAAATTACCTTGCTAGTGAAATAATAACACTACGAGTAAAAATAGCTATGAAGAAAATGTTTATTGATTATCTATCGAACCTATTTTTAGAATGTTTCATCTTCACACTCGAAAACAAAGATAGGTTTTTGTGATTTATCCTTTATCTATTCAGAAGAGCTAATTCAAGCGCTGTGTTAAAGGAAACCATGCCATGCACACAATCAAACAAGTTTATCATCGAAATCCCATAAATCATATTCCTTGACTAAATGAAGAATGAGTAAGGTTGATTAGGAATTCATATATATTCAGTTAATGAATCAACACAGGAGAACAGTAGAACAAAGCCTTTCGAGTTACCTACCACATTTTACCAAATTTTTTGTAAGGTTTGTGCATAAGTCTTTCGAACACAGGTCAAGCTAATGTAATCCATCTCAAGCCTATTATTCATTAATGTTTCAGATTTAATCAAAAGTATAAAATTTATCAAACACTGATATATCAGAAAGGAGTTTGTTGATATTGTAGTAATTTCAGTGGTTGAAATTATGAATCAATTGAAGCTAGCCCACCATGGAATACCTGGAGGCACTGGATGGCCGTTTCGGCCTATTGTGGGACTCCTCAGAAGTGCACATACCTGATCTCGCCTGGCGAGATTAAATTTCGAACGTTTCATAATCAAATATAAGTCAGCTCTTTGGAGAATTAAAACAAATAAATAGCAAATTAAACTAACGCAATTTAAAATAGTATAAAGGACACAAAGAAGAATATCTTTAGTACAATTAGAATTAAAATTGGTCTGATCAAGTTATGTCACTTCATATTTGGTTTATGTGTGCGTGTCAGTAGATGTAAAAAATGTGAAAGGTGTGAACGGGTTTAATTTTGTAGATATTTGAATAAATTGTCTATATCGGATGCATCGTTAGACATCCTTTTTAGTTAAGCGCAGTAAGGTTTAACCTGTATAACTAATGCTGATTTGACTTACAGATTTTCTAGATATATAGGATTATTTGGAGGTCCTTTTTGTAAAGCTTAGATCTTCTTTAGCACGAGTTATGATTTCACAATAAGACAATTTAATATATAAGATATCGCACTCTACACATCCTAGTCTTTAAACACAAAGAATGTTATCTTTCATTTGAACCAAAATATTTCTTAGAGTATACGTTGTTTTATAAGATGCTTTCATGCTATGTATTGAAACCATTCGTTGTAGTTCTTCCGTCGTACCACTGTGGTTTGGCATAATTTCGTTATCAACCCATAGTAGTTCGTACTATGTTGGTAATATTATTATTTTTTTCAGTGGTTGAGCCTCAATTGACTCATGATCTCAACTATTGAAATTACTATAATATTCACAAAAAACTCCTTCTGATATTATTCAACATATGCTCAATAGTGACTGGCATCAAAAGGTATTTCCTGGAGTTCTAGTGAGAAGCAGTGACAAGTAGAGTTCAACCGGGTCTGTTATGAGATAGTAACTCACTGAAAATTATGGTGGATGTGTCGCTCAATTTCGTGGATTAGTTAAACATAGACATTATCACCGTTGGATACTGGCCAAATCAGTGGTCTAGTGGTTAAGCATTCACGCGCGAGTCTAATAGGTCCTGGGTTTGAATCTCGCGAGTCGGGATGGTGGATGCGCACTGCTGAGGTGTCCCACAATAGGAGGAAACGGTCATCCAGTGCTTCCAGGTTTTCTATGGTGATCTAGATTCAATTGACTCATGATCTCAACTATTAAAATTACTAAAATATCCACAAAACCTCTTCTGATATTATCCTTTTGTTTGTTTCGCTTCATCTGATGTATTAATCTTTGATGTTCATTTGAATTAATTGTGTATTTTATTTATTTAAATTCACTTACTATTCATGCCTGTTAGACATTAATATTTTTCTTTTTATAAAACATCCTTTATATCTTCATAAAATGGTCTAAATAATAATTTAATCCGGATAATAGAAAGTTCGATTATCTTTTCTTTTTTTTTTTCTAGTTTTTTTTACTCCTGTCGTGTTCCAACTTTATTGATTAATTGAGTAATTTTGTTTTGTCTAAAGAAATTTTCTAATTTGATTTCATTATTAATTATGATTAAGTTTTGTTTATAATGATTATTGAGATTTCTTTGATCTTTATCAATACAGATCAATTTTAATAATTTTTTTATTTATATTCTGTAGGCTATGCTTGAATTGGTTTCTCATTAAAGGAGTTCCCATTTTGTATTTGTATTCAGTTCCTTTGTTTGTTTGTTTGAATAACAATATTAACGAAGAAATAATTACATAATCAATTATTTATCTTATCTACTTGATTTTAATTTTAGAATAAATCAGAACCTATAAATTCTATTAAATCAGCTGATCATAGATCATCGTCTGTTATGAGAGATACTATAAATATTTTTAGCAATGATGAAGTTAAGCATTCATTCAGTTCATTTAAATCGGTATCATTTGAGGGTACATTGTATACAGATTCTATAGATAAAAATTCCAGAAACTTTAATGTTGACATACTTCAATCGAGTATTACAAATTCAGATTATGGAGTTATAACTCAAGGTAGTAATAATAGTAATATACAGATATCAAGTAACGGTAAAGATAATTTAACACATAATTGTTCAAAAAAATTTCCCAATTCTCCTTCATCATGTTCAAATACTGCTTATGTTGTATGGACTACCACACCAGAAATTATTCGAGATGATGAACGAGAATTAACCAACCATTCATTGGATAAAATACTAATACACACAAATGCTCAACAACAACAAAACTCAAAAGAGCAACAATTAATTTTTTCACCAACAACTTCATATATTTCAGCTGCTTTACCAAATTCACAAGAAATTATCTTAAATAATGATGCATTATTTAATCAAAATGATCTCAGTAAACTTCTGTCGTCTACAGCATCGTCATCAACAGTACTATCTGGACCTAATTTATATAATCCTGTAAATGTTAAATTAGCTGATATAAGTAACAAAGTAAGTCAATAATAAATATATTCATATGATATGTTAATGAGTAGAAAATTGTATTTCTGATGTTTCATGACTTGATATAAGTCACATTGTCAGAGTAAATAAATAACCTAAATAAAATTAACACAAGTTTAAGTAGTTAGAAGGTAAAATGTGGTACATTTTTAGTACAGTCGAAATCATAATACGTCTGAAAATGTCAATGTTATGTTATTTTGATCAAGGGGATTTTGTATGACATATCACTGTGCGTAAGCAGGTGATTATGATAAGTGTATACATTTTTTATATAAAGTTAAAGGGTTAAAATTGAGTGAGAAATATGTAGGGTCGGATGTCGTTGTTGTGAAAAACAGTTCAGGTTGGATAAATAGTCAGGCGTTCTATCCTACTGAGGGTAGAGAGATTTGGAATTGTGAGAAACTCTCTGACTACTTAACTCTCTTTATAGTTCCGACAAAAAAATTTTCTAAATTATTTTGATATTTATTATCAACTTTCTACCCAATGAGCAATTTATTTCAAACTATCAGGTATGACCTTTGTATTGATACCTAAAAACAAAGTTTCAAAAAAGTGTATATAAGTTTTGCATTAATGAAGTAGATTTACGTTATCCAATATAAAACTTTCTTCTAATGTATCTAACAGATTGTTTGGCGAAATCTGTCATTTATATTATGCATGCATTACATTTCTCCGTATTGATAATAACCGTCTATTAAAATCCTAGAAATGTTTATATTTATAAAACGGTTACGCATTAAGAGAACTCTAAAGAGCTCAGAGAAAGCTGTACTGTAAATTCACATCCCAAAAAATTACGGATTGTAAATATCATTTTAAGCATTGGAGTCACGTTGTTGTGTTTAAACTACGTCACCTTTTTCATTATTCTTTGTGCTAAACACCTCTAATAGTATTCTTACTTCAATTTGAGGTATAATTTTCATTACATCATTCCTTATAAACCCTTCATTACATGTATTGTTATAATTTGTTGCTTCGGAAATATATTAGGTTGTTCAAATTAATGAAACCGGTTCTAGGTCAATAAAGTCATTCAAATATCTGCAGTCAAAACAAGTTACTTATCCAAAAATGTGTGGTTTTAACAACTAGTATAGTGCTCTATTATGATAAGATAGGGTGCTAGATATATGTCTTTAGTTTAAAAAGTTACTGGTTCTGATTATTAGGAGTCTGAAACGTTTATATCCGATGTACCAGACAACCATACGAAAATCATGTTTACTAAAATACATTTACGAATGACTGATATAGCATTAGATTTTATAATCAGTATGTTGTACTTTCCCTGTTTGGGATGATATCGTTTTCTTCAAATGACATATTATTTGTTCATGTTGTGATGAAAGAACAAGGATTTCGTTCTTTTTCTTCCCAGTAGTTAACTACCTTTTTTTAAAAAATAAAGATGAATTTGGACAATGGTAATTGACGTCTGGATGAAGTCAAACTTTCATCCTAGGTTATACAACTATCAAATTATTTTATTTCTCTGTAGTTCAAAACAAAAGTGTTAGTATTAGAAAAAACTTAGTTAAAAATGTTATAACTTGTTGGTTTGTGCCCTTTTTAATGTATAATGTAATAATACCGCCAATTAGAGAACAGTGAATTATCGACCTACCCAATGACCCATAAACCTATACGATCGGTCTAGAGTCCTTATTTTTCCTGCTTTCTGTCTAGCCCTGCCTGTTAAGTTCAGAACACTAATTTCAGCCTGTGCGATATGAATCATTTATTTCAAACATACTGGGTATATTTACAAACCAAACAGACCACACCGTACCATTAAGTGGGAAATAACATTTATACAAGATCTAGCCAAAAGTGGCTGTAAATGTAGAAGTCTGTAATTAATAGACTGGGCATAACTCAAGAATGGTAAATCGTATAACAATAGTTCATAAGTTAAAATAAAGCTCATAATAACAGGGAAGTGAATGTGCATAGTTTAGCTACTTAGTAATTATACAATAAATGTATATATATCGTATTTATCCATAAATAGTTCTCAAGAGTTACCATTCATTATTCTCATCGGGATATAAGAAAAACATCATGAGAAATACAGTCAAAATGTTTTAAAACGATAGAAAATTTACTGGAACCAAGTTGAAGATTAGTAGCATTTTACTGAAAATGATTCAATATGTATGCAAAATTTATTTCAAAATTATTCTGAACTATTCTCTATTGATAAAATATTACGGCCGTCCATTGCTTCCAGGTTTTCCATGATGGTTTACTTTTAATTGACTCATGATTTCAACTATTAAAATTATTATAATATCCACAAAACCTCTTCTGATACAAATAACTATATACCAAAATGAACATTATCTATTGTTCTGAGTAACAATTAGAGTTGAAAATATTATACAATAAAGTCAAACAAATCATAGCCACTAACCGTGTTATTGGTTTCTTAAATATAAACCTTTATATCAGAAGGGGTTTGTGGATATTATAATAATTTTATTAGCCGAGATCATGAGTCAATTGAAGCACTGCTGAAGAGCCCAACAGCAGGACGAAACGGCTGCCCAGTGTTTCTAGGTTTTCCATGGTGGCCTAGTTTCAATTAAGTGATGACCTCAACTATTAAAATAAACCTTTATATATATTCATTTCAATAGGGATTGTTTGTCTAATGTAATGTAATTAATCATACACAGAAGTTAATTGTATAAAATAATTTTGTTTCGTTTTGATTAGTTAGTAGAAAAATAATTAATTAATCTTAATAATGTTTTTTTGTTCTCTTCCATCTATCACTCCATATATATGTACATAGATATTCCCAGAGGAATTATTTAACTTCGTTCTACCAAAGTACACAGAAGTAGACTGAGAATAAATTTTTTTGTTCATTTAAATGTTTACTTAGTTCCATGTAGTTTGTACAGTATTTGTATACCTTATGAAAATAAGTTAACATAATTTTTTTAATGGAAATGCTGCGTTACCATAGTTATATACTTTTTGTTCATTAAGAAGACATAATGATTTATGGAATTAAATGAGGCAACCTTTTTTTGTAAACCTATTCGTCCTATATCACTATGTATTCATTTTAGAGAAATTTTCAGCTTTTTCAATGTATTACATAATAATTTAAGGAAACATTTAGGGATGAATTAACTTTAAGCTTAAGCATTTTGGTCATTTATAAAGTTTTTTTTCAAAAAAAAGCATTTTCGATTGAATTGATTGTGAAGTATTTAGATAAATGATGTTTTTTTATCGAATAAACTATGGGACCTCACCGTTTGATAACTGGATTGCAATCAGTTTAATGTTTTCCACCTCTCATTATTGATTGAATACTATTGATCAGATTACAATATAGTCTATAGATAATTTGATTCAATATCACATGGATTACATTTCAATGCTAGGTGGTTGAAGGTCAGATAAATAAGAAGTTGTAGATGAAAATTTGAATATATGTGATATATATATATATATATATATATATATATATATATATATATGAATGGATCTAAAAACATCACATATATTCAAATTTTCATCTACAACTTCTTATTTATCTGACTTATATATCATTTCCTTACTTACTAAGATCTTACCTTCATGATTTCGTATCCTTATGCATATCAATAAGTTTTGTATGATGAATATTTATATTTTAACTTCTTTGGTAGTTGACATTTAAATATTTTATTTCCTCAAATTTGTTTCTCTATATGAGTACAAGGTTTGTTGTTTTTTCTGAAGTCATGTTGTTAGAGAAGTTCAGAAGATCTAATGTTTCCTGGAAACACTAATCCGGATGTGAAATTTAGATTTATGAGCTGACAAAATTATCTGACACATCAATAACATATGCTCACACTTATTGCTTTCTAGAAATATTCATAGCTCACTGGTACCGGTTGATGAAATTAGGTATATTATATTGAAGCATATGATTTTGCAATTAGTGAAGAATAATGAGTTGTAGCTTAAGAGCATGATTTTGACCAAATCATGTCGTCTCAATTGAGTAAGTGATCACCCTTTCAAGGTACATGAAAACCATATAACTATTAAGCTGCATTTATTCGATTATATCATTGTATCTTGATAATCGTGCAAATAAGTTCATTGAAGCAAACATAGAAATCCTGAACAGAGGTGAAAAAAATATAGCTAGAAGATTTTTATAATCTGGACGTACAGGTCAGTAAGAAACCAGTTAGGAGAATCACAAGCATTATACAGTCAAAAATCAGGTCATTTAGGTTAATAGTCGAAATAAGTTTAGGATTAGTGACATTCCAAACTTTGACATCAAACAATCATATAATGTTGACAGAAAAAGTTCTTCACAACTTGCAGAAAAATTCCTAAAATTAACATGTTTTTGAAGTTTATGCTAAAGTGAGTTCGGGAGACAATGAAAAAATCAAAACTAAACAACATAGCTCTTGGAACATATCTTCATCTAAAGCTAAAACTAGTACCTGCGCCAACGGTTCTTCATATCAGCCTTCTCAAAAGAATGAAATTATGAAAAACTGTTCACTTAACGCTATCAGCTTATTTTCATAAAAGACCAGACAAATATTTTGATATTTTACATAGCATGAACAAGTTGTAATCATTTACCCGTGACTGAATAAATTTGTGGTTTACATTTTGGTATTTGGTGTGATACAACATGATTTCGATTTGCATTCAGAACCGGTTGATGTCTGTTAGGGAAGTAGCTTTCAAGTGACGTTATTAATGAAAATTAATCATTAGAAGTTATATGATTAATAGATACCGTAAAATATGATGGTCTTTTTAATCATGAAACTACTATAATACTAACTAAATAGCTGTTTCTAGTAGAAAGAATGCATTTGTATTATCGCAATAAGTAGAAAAACTAAATTTTCTGACGTTTTGTGAATTAGTGTAAGCCACTTCTTTGGAGAATAAACAAACAAATTAACCCAAGTTTAGATAATACAAAGAAACAAGACAAAAATATTTGTATCCACGTGTGTTAATGGATGAGAAATGTGACATTTGTATGTATGATAATAATGTGAGATATGAATAAAATCAGACATTGTAGCTCGGACAGATAGTCCAAGTCGGATGTTTGGTAAGGTCTTCCTTTCTATTGAGGGCATTCCTTTGCAATTGGAAAAGCATTTTTGGATTATTTTGATAATTTTAGTATAAACTTAATGGTTATTGAAGATGGCATGCACTGCTGTGTTTTGTGCTACTGATGTCGATAAATATATGTAGTATATATCGCCAGTCGAAAGTGAAATGCTTGGAGGTAAAATGCTAAGAAGATCAAAGAAAAGGGAACAAGAACAAAGAATGATTGGTGTGGACATGAAAGAACAATGAAGTCTGAGACGATTGATTGATATTTTGCAAATGAATTATTTGCTGTATGGTTCTCAGATTTTACTAAGAGATTCTGCAATTTTGTATTCAAACACATTCGATTACCGATCTAATGTAGAGTCTTTCATATTCTACAAGATCATTATGTAGTTTTTGTGTGTACTTAAGATGTTCTTTGGCCCGAGTCAAGATTTCACCAGATTCGTAGACCCAGTTCTGTGTTGAAGTATAGAGGATATTATTGATTATATAAAATAAAGCATTGCGATGGGTGTTAGTTGTTTTGTAGTCTATTTTCATGCCGTGTTCTTTTATGACCATTTGGTGTTTTTTTGATGTACCATGGTAAAACAACGGTACCAACCCACGGATTTCAATCAAACTATTACTTAACAGTAAATTCCCTTGTTTTATTACATCTCTAATAATATTCATGGAAAAATTATTAAATTGTAAGCTGTTAGTTATATACTTCTGTTCTTTTCGTTTATCCCCATCAAATGTAAAAATAATAATAATAATAATTTAGGGTCAGGGAGACTGTAGTACTGATCGGATGTACTGAATCGAAGTCGATATAACGATTCGAGTGTATTGGTTCTCGGTAGATAGATAGATTTAAAGAACTAGTTAAATTTCTTTTGAATAAGCAACCCAAAATTGATAGCTAAACGTGTTCATTTTTATTCTTCTAAGTAAATTTAATATGGGATGCGGGTGTATTGATCCTGTTGACTACCTCCAACCACCATTTTATCTCAACATAGTGCATGCCATGTCAAGTCAACTAGGCTGGTGGCCACAATGCAACTTGGTCGATGGGATTCGATCTGCACTAAGACGGACCTGAAATACATAACATTGATCAACACCCAGTGGTCACTCAATTCTAAAAACATCTTAGTCCTACAGGAGGTCGGTCGCAGCCCGGATAGTTCAGTGGTAACATTTCTGACTGTGAAGTCCGGTAAACGGGATCGAATCCGTCAGGGAGCATCAGTTTCCTTAAGATTATAGGTACACCTTGCTGACGAGTGCCAAATAGCACGAAACCTAGGTCCAAGGTTTCCTGTTGACTACTTCCAACCACCATCTTAGTGTATTGATCCATTTAGAAAAAGTTGGTAGGAAAATCTTTTTTAATAATGACAAAAGTTTCATCTACATATTTTGCCAAATTTGTGGTTTATTGCTACTGAAGAAGATATTATTAGTGTTTCACTAGTGGATTGATGTAAACACACTACATGTTTATATAGTTGTGTCCTTGGTAATATTTTTTGAATTATAAACAAATCAAATATCTAAAAATACTTTATATTTCAATTATAGACCATATTCATTCATCAAATTGTTTATCTACTTAATAAGCAAAAGATGATCATTCTACTCATAACCTTTATGTAGCAAGTGTTATTAACTAATGTATGGAATTTTTTAAAACATGCGATACAATTTCAATCACCTTACACTTTCAGTGGAGTGAACTTTACATGAGACAACATACAATTTGTTCGATACCTTTAAAGAATGTGTTTGCTGGAAGTGGATATTTTTAGTTAAGAAAAAAACGTTGTTAATTTAACGAAAATTACTAACATGGGTAGTTACTAATTATGCTCAACAGTTTGCATTTGATATCATAAGGGGTTCTTGTGGATATTTTAGTAATTTTAATAGTTGAGATCATGAGTCAATTGAATCTAGATCACCATAGAAAACCTGGAAGCACTGGATGACCGTTTCCTCCTATTGTGGGACACCTCAGCAGTGCGCATCCACCATCCCGACTCGCGAGATTCAAACCCAGGACCTATTAGACTCGCGCGTGAATGCTTAACCACTAGACCACTGATTTGGCCAGTATCCAACGGTGATAATGTCTATGTTTAACTAATCCACGAAATTGAGCGACACATCCACCATAATTTTCAGTGAGTTACTATCTCATAACAGACCCGGTTGAACTCTACTTGTCACTGCTTCTCACTAGAACTCCAGGAAATACCTTTTGATGCCAGTCACTATTGAGCATATGTTGAATAATATCAGAAGGAGTTTTTTGTGAATATTATAGTAATTTCAATAGTTGAGATCATGAGTCGATTGAAGCTAGACCACTAATTTAGACAATAATACAGTTGGATGCCGGCAAGCTCAGTGGTCTAGTGGTTAGGCGCTCACTCGCGAGTTTATATTTAGTCAATAAAACATCCATTTCGTAAAAGTAATTCATCTATGCATAAAATATTTATTGCCTAATTGATCCTTAGTACAAATAAAATTTTAGTGAAAATTTATGTTGATTGTCTTAAAATAGGAAAGCAATTAATTATTTTAGTAATAGAAAAGAAACAATTTTACTTGAATTATACACCTCATGTTTATGATTGTTTGCGATCTTTTATTTCTTTTACTTGTCAGTACACATTAACTGATTTATGTTGAAATTCATGTTCAACTTTTGGAATTTATTTAAATTTAGTTTTCATGAAAGGATAAGTTTGAAATAATTAATCTTGGTGATAATATTAATATTAAGGAAAAGAATAATAACTCATCTGGTGGAAAAGTGATTGATGTCTAACCAAAACTATTGATGTTTATTTCGATTAGTCGTCCAGTAGTTTCCGTATTTTTTCCTATTCGTCCAATGCAACTGAAAAACTTATTTTTATTACATACTGACAAGTTCGGTTCACATTCGCAGATGATCGACCATTTATTTAGAGTTAATAAGATTGTTATGAAATGTTGTTGTTGTTCGGTCATCAAATAAGCTTAATAACGTACTGAATGACAAACCAATAACTTGTATGTTGGAAATGTAAAGCGACTGCTTTTTTTAGACATAATTTGAGTCGAAGGATGTATTGGGCCACAAAACGAACAGTTTATAAGTGTTGTAACGGGTGTGACTGCAGGTTTTTGATACGCAGCGTATTTATCGATCGATTCTGTGACAGTGACACGTAAACACGTAGTGGACGACCTAGTGTTCTGATTGGCCCTGCTTCGTTGTCTGTCCTAGCCAGTTGAGTCAAGAACGCAAGTCACAGCCTCTGAGTTATGAATCATTGTATTTCAGACATACTCTATTTATATACTAACCAAACAAAAGACATCGTACCATAAAATAGAGAACAACATTTACACAATATTTAACAAGTGAAATAAACATCGACCAATAGGAAATGTACATTTAAGGTCCAAGGCCACCATAGACTTAACACGACAATTATTGGTATATTTTTCCGACTATCCTAAGAATAAGGAACACACATGAACTGACCATTGTCTGGAATTCTTCAGTTCCTGTGCGCTGAAATATAAAACGCGTATGGTTAAGTGCTTCTTCAACACAATTCAATAAATATGCATTGAAGATACTAAAGCACGTGACATGAAACCATTGCTTCGAATATTCGTTAAAGTTTAAGATCCGTGTAAAAGTTGGTCAACATTAGGATCTCTTATTATATTTGTTTCGAGAAAATAATCTGCATCAGTCTATCTTATGAAAGAAAATCAAACACTATAATTTTAAAGCAGGGATTGAAAACATTCATGAAGGAAATATATTATGTTTCTGAATTAATTGCCTGTGAGACAACTAAGCCCATGATTCCACATAGGTCTTTACATATGATGAACGGATATATCACATACCAATCCATTACCAGTTTGAATATCTGTGGGTGCATATATGCTGAGAGTAATCAAACGGTTCAATCTTCAGTGATATAACATGTGCCCAAATGTGCCAATCAATTAGTATCAGGGGGTTCGATAATTCAGGAAGTAGAAAACTATGCCCTTCAATAACAAAACACAATAGAAACAGGCTTTAGGATTGACCTGGATATGGATTTCAAGATTTGCACAGAAATTGTCAAGGTTGAATTATATAAATTTTGGTTTTGAAAAATCTCGATACTTTATACGTACAGAAGAATATTTCTCTTAACTTTGAATCTGCCTTGATAAACAGTGAAGTTCCAGAACCGGGGTATTGTAATATTCTGTTATCTTTTTCATATCGCATTCATTTTTTCCTTAGTTTATTTCCTGTTGTCATGTTTAATGAACCCCCTATTTCAGTGCTTCCAGGTTTTCAATGGTGGTCTAGCTTCAGCTGACTCATGAGTTCAATCTGTAAATGACCTTTGTTAGTTTTCATTTATAAATGCTTTGATATATTTACATGTGACCAAACTGTTCGAAAAGTAAGGATTAAAGACACACCATGTTTCTCATCAACTCCACCCTTTCATAAAACTGTTAACATCCGCCTACTATTGTTAGTATATATATATATATTCACATTTCGTGTCCTTTTTCATTTTCTTATAACAGATGCAGCCGTCGAGTGGTGCTTCGGTACTGAACTCAATAGATGCTCCAAGTAAATCAAACTATATTGTAAGTAAATCACAAAAACCAAAAGAAACTGTACAATCTTATGCATTTTGTACAAATATGGCATATTGTGATTCGGTAACAAATTCACAAATATCTAATATATCTACATTAATTACGGATAATTCATTACAAGAATTTACAACATTAGATACAGTTTTACAATCAGTTGATGCAAATGAAAGTTTTCTTAAACATGTTTATCATACAACAGATACCTTATTACCACAATCAACATCATCATTATCATCACCATCTCCGAATACATGTGTTATTGTTGATCAAGATCATTTTAGATTTGGTTCAAATCTGGTCTATTTTTGTCCTAATTCATATCCGAATAATAATTAATTAATTTCCACATTGAACACCTCATATATATGAAGATTATTAATGAGATTTCACATTCCATAGTCTTATCTAAAACAATGTACACGTATGTTTAATAAGTAGATAATTCATTAAATTAATTGTATATTTCAATAAGAGTAATGTACAAAAAGAAAGAAAAAAAAGAAAAGAAAAAAAGGAAAAAAATACATTCTACATTTTAATCTGTATTTATAATTGAGTTCTGAGTTTACTATTATTTAGTTTATTTCTAAATTTAATTTAATCAAAAGCAGAAACCAACATTTTTGTTTTTCTTGTTGTTGTTGTTGTTGCTGTTTTAAATGTGTATTAACTTTCAATTTTGTTTTGTTTTAAAAGCTTCAATTAATTGATCATTTTAAGTAGACCGAAATTCATTCAGACCATAAAAATAAAAGACGATGTTCAATCTAATTGAAGCATTTTTAAATACACACACACACAAAGAAAATGCAACTGTGATTTATGATAAGTTTAACATTTGATTGTTTAAACTGTACTCAATTTAAACCAGAAATAATTTGTCCTTTCAGTTCATTTGGCATGTGTGTTTCTTAGCGAGAAAATGTTTTTTTTCTTTCTTCAGGAAACAGGTAATTAAATAGAAGCAACAGTTTGTATTCACTCAAATATTTAATTAAATTTCTTTCTGTTATAATGCTCGGAGTTTCCTCGTCTATACGAATGAGACATTAATTTACCTTAAACGAATATCTACATTAGATTCCCTAGCAGTGTCTATTTTACAGGACTTTAATATAACTCAGATCAAGGACACGAGATTAGCCTGACTAGAACGTAAATATATTGTTACACCAAAAAACCGACATCAATCCGACACAATCAATAATAATAATAATAATAATACGGATAAGAGAATATACAACTCATCTAACGCCTGTTAAACTATCTACTAGTCTGACAAAGCGAATAACCAATCATTGTCATCCTCGACCACACATCACTTTGTCGGCTCGCTAGTCAACACTTTTACGTTTCTACATTCTAATCACATAGTTTTTAGATCAAATTGTGTTACATATCAGTTAGTAACAAGTACATACCAGTTAAATTCACTGAGATGCTGTCTAATTAATTATCATAAAATCCATATCATACAACTCAGCCTTGATAATCATACTGACGCCTGAATTCAAAATCAATCAGTTTGAGTGTCATAGCTGTATCTGTTAATTATGAAACAAAATCAGTAATGATATGCAAACCTAGGCTCGACTGAAATGTCTATGAATTTCTATAAGATTCTAATACATATTGATCATTTAAACTTTTGCTTCGGTTATATTTGTTGAATTTGAATAAAGACAGAACGAATACTGATACAGAATAATGTGAATTCATTATATTTCATGATATCTCATCAACATTAGATTAATAACGCATCCTTTCTTCGGTTTGCCACAGCAAGATCAATAAAAACACTCAAACCTGATTTATGTATCTTGAAAGAGACAGTAATAAACTTCCCACTACCTTGGTGAATTATTTTTGTCAGTATCAATATTTTATTAGTGTTCATTTTGTCAAGCGAACTTTCCTTAACTAATTCTTATTTTATGTACACTATCCCTTCACACATACGTTTTCTCTTAACTTTTGTAAACTCTTCAAGTCCTGTTCGATTATTACGTAACCCGTCTTATCAGTTTTTAATTCCAGTAATCTTATGTAAACCCTTCATAACCTCTAAAATTATCTATCTTATCTATCTCCGGACCTCATTTAATTAATACTTTACCCACCCCCTCATGTTATATATATAACATCTGTCATTCTAGTTCTTTGCCTTAATTTAATTAATTGTTTCATATCATATCTTACCTCAATGTTAACGTTCAATACATATATGATTGCAAGCAGTTGATGAGAAACGGCGAAATCTAATGAATTTATATTATACTGTATCAGTGTTTGTTCTGGTTGTATTCAAATTCATTAAGGGAAACAATTGAATGGCACTTGTTGAAAGAAGGATTGGAAAGTTTCTTTCAAGTGCGCTAATAAATTACTAACTTACTTACGCCTATTACTCCCAATGGAGCATAGGCCGACGACCAGCATTCTCCAACCCACTCTGTCCTAGGCCTTCTTTTCTAATTCCATCCAATTCTTATTCATTTTTCTCATGTCTATCTCCATTTCCCGGCGTAATGTGTTCTTTCGTCTTCCTCTTCTCTTCTGGCCTTCAGGATTCCATGTGAGGGCTTGCCTTGTGACGCAGTTGGGTGATTTCCTCAATGTGTGTCCTATCCACTTCCAGCGCTTCTTCCTAATTTCTTCCTCCGCTGGGATCTGCTTTGTTCTCTCTCACAGTAAGTTGTTGCTGATAGTGTCTGGTCAACAGACCCGAAGTATTTTGCCCAGATAACTGTTAATAAACACTTGTATCTTCTGGATGATGGCTTTCGTAGTTCTCCAGGTTTCCGCCCCATACAGTAGAACTGTTTTGACATTTGTATTGAAAATCCTGACCTTGGTGTTGGTTGGGAGACAGTTGCTTTGAGTTCCAGATGTTCTTCAATTGTAAATATGTTGCTCTTGCCTTACTGATCCGCGCTTTCACATCCGCATTATATCCACCATGTTCATCAATGATGCTGCCCAAATATGTAAGGGTTTTTACATCTTCCAAATCTTCTCCGTCAAGTGTGATTGGATTGGTGCATGCTGTGTTATATCGGAGAATCCTGCTTTTCTCTTTGTGTATATTGAGACCTACTGCTGCTGAGGCTGCTGCTACACTGGTCGTTTTCTCCTGCATTTGTTGTTGCGATTGCGATAGGAGGGCTAGATAGTCTAACTGCATCCTAGATGTCCACTGTATCCCGCGTTTCCCTTCAGATGTTGACGTCTTCATGACCCAGTTGATCACCAGGAGAAAGAGAAAGGGTGAGAGTAAGCAACCTTACCTGACACCGGTCTTTACCTCGAACGAGTTTGTCAACTGTCTTTCATGCACAGTTTTGCATTTCAATCCATCATAGGAATTCCGTATGATATTGACTATCTTCTCAGGTACGCCGTAGTGTCGAAGAATCTTCCGTAGTGTTGTCATGTCCACGCTATCAAATGCTTCCTCGTAGTCAATGAAGTTGATGTAGAGTGATGAATTCCATCCAATCGATTGTTCCACAATGACCCTCAGTGTTGCAATTTGGTCTGTACACGATCGATCCTTACGGAATCCTGACTGTTGGTCTCGAAGTTGGGCGTCTACGGAATCCTTCATCCTGTTTAACAATACCTTATTGAAGACTTTTCCCGGTATTGAGAGAAGAGTGATGCCCCTGTAGTTATCACAGTTTCTGAGATCGCCTTTCTTCGGTATTTTGATCAGGAGTCCTTCTTTCCAGTCTCTTGGTACTTGTTTCTCATCCCAAATCTTATTGAAGAGAATGTGGAGTATCCTTGCACTTGCCGCTACGTCTGCTTTCAGTGCCTCTACTGAAATGTTGTCTGGTTCTGCTGCTTTGCCACTCTTGATTTGTCTGATGGCCATGCTGATTTCTTCAATTGTTGGTGGACCAACATTGATTGGGAGGTCGGTGGGTGCAGCTTCAATATTGGGTGGGTTCAGTGGAGCTGGTCGATTCAAGAGTTCTTTGAAGTGTTCTACCCACCTGTTTCGCTGTTCTTCAATATTGGTGATTACCTTGCCGTCCTTGCTTTTCACTGGTGATTTTCAGAGAGTATGTTAGTATCTTGAATAAAGGCCGTATTGAACTTTTGTGATATTGTCCGCCCCATTGTCCGGTGCTTCTTGAGTTTCAATTTCATCTTGGCGACCAGCAAGTGATGATCTGATGCTATATCAGCTCCTCTCTTGATTCTCACATCCTCCATTGTCCTCCTGAACTTATTGTTGATGCAGATATGGTCGATTTGGTTTCGCGTGGCGTGATCCGGTGAAGTCCATGTGTTTTGTGAATGCGCTTATGTGGGAATATGGTGCCGCCTATGACCAGTTTATTGAAAGCATATAGGTTTGCAAATCTCTCACCATTTCCGTTTCTTTCTCTCAGTCCGTGTCGTCCCATGATATCTTCACATCCAGTGTTGTCCGTTCCAACCTTGGCGTTGAAATCTCCCATCAGAATGGTCAGGTCTTTTGTTGGCACTTCTCGACGATTGACTGTAGCCTATCGTAGAATTGATCTTTAGCGTCTTCATTGTAATCGTTGGTAGGTGCATAGCATTGGATGATGTTCATTGAAATGCTCTCTTTCTTTGTTTTGAAGGAGGCTTTGATGATCCTTGATCCATGAGATTCCCATCCTATAAGCGCATTTTGTGCTTGTTTGGACGACACCAATGCGACTCCTTGTGTATGTGGGGCATTTTCTTCTTCATGGCCGGAGTATAACAGAAGCTCCCGTGAAGCTAATCTTTGTTTTCCGACTTGCGTCCAAAGTGTTTCACTGATGCCAAGCACCTCTAGGTTGTATCTCCTCATTTCTGCAGCATTTTGGAAGGCTCTCCCGGTGTCCCACATTGTACGAGCGTTCCATGTACCTAAATAAATGGTTGCTCTGGTTGTTAGAAGGGGCATCGGTCTAGTGGCTTCCGTAGGAACTCGGCTTTTACCATGGGGCTTCATAACTCTTCTAAATGAAGACCTTCTGACTCCCAGGGCAGAGTTTAATTGGTTTGAATAATTTTTTCTGGTTAGCGCTTTTGTAGCGAGTTAGTTTTCTATGGGATGGGGTCGCTAACCCCATGCCTAACCCTCCTCCTTTATCCGGGCTTGGGGCCGGCAGAATCCTCCAGAGGGACTCCAGACGGAGTTGTGCTAATAAATTATTGAATCAAATCAATTACCAGAATATCAACTATTAGTGTGATCATTCATACCTTTACATTACAGTGAACGCTGTGATGTTTCAATGCGATTTAATTAACTTCTGTTCTTATTGTGTTGTAATTAATATATGTAGAATGAAGTGTTTACTACTTACATG